CAAGTCAAAGCACCTCTAATGTTGTGGGTGATGTTATTGGGTCCTGTAATATTAATCCTAGAGTAAATGTAGGGATAAAGAGCATAGGACTTGTAGTTTTACAAAAACGTCAGTTTTCTGTACCCAAGAGTTGGTGCCTACTATTCCTAGGATTCCGTAACATTGAGCCATTACAATTAAAGTGCAGTCAGAGGTGGGAAAAAGTGTTAACTAAAGCCCCCAGTTACTTCCCAGTAAATCAGTAAATTATGGGGGTGGATTAGTGGGTGCTGGCAGCTGATAAAATTCAGGGGTCTCCATACATGCTCAAGAGCAAGAGATGGGGATGGGGCCCATTACGTCACATAAATATGCATTTTATGTGAGACTTGTTTTAAATCTATCTCCACCAGCCATTTTTCCATATAATTTATGCATTTGGAAATAGCCTTCTTTCCATTAAAAAAAACCCCAAACTTCTCTGCCTTCTTTAGTTATTCTGACAGCATGATATTCAGAAAGCTTGAAAATATAAAATTCAGATTTAAACTTGAAATTGTCTGCACCCTACACTCCTAACCCCAGGAGTCTTCCAGGCTGAGATACTAGGTAAGAATACAGATAAAATGTGGAAAATGTAATCTCATAGGTTAGCTAAAAGGAAGTTTCCACATAATCTGATTCATTTGGAATGTGCATTTACTGATAGTTATGTGAGAAATCTTATTCACACCCATCCGGACTTTATTGTATCTTTGCTGTGTTGTATACAATCGGTGATCAGATGAGCATTTACTAAATTGTGTGAGTCATTAAATCCTTATTAGCAGCTTAAACATAGACTCTTAGTCATAATTCCACGTTTAGCTCTGCTGGGCCAATTTCTCTGCTTAAGAAGCTCTGACCAATTAATTGTTTGTTACTGATTTCTATGAAGGCCTCACTACAACCATTGTGAAGGAAATAAATGCAATCCAGAAAATATAATACACAAAGTCTTATTGAAATACATCTAAAATGAATCTTCAACATTATGCTTAGATTATATTGATTTCAGTGGAAATTACTGTTGTTTATTTACTTTTCTTCTACCATAGGACTCCATAGTAGTTCTTTTTCATTGTGTCATTGATCTTGCTCAGTCAGTCTGATGACATAATATCTGTAATTTGTCTTCTTTTTCCTTAATATATTGCAGGTATAATAACACTAAAGAGATAGTAATACCAAGAATGAGAGAAAACAAATCTTCATTAGCAATAATTCTGCTGTACTGTATTAGCATTTCTGTATCAAAAGAATAGATGGACTGCCTCACTACTGCAGACCAAATTCTGGGATTTATTGATGTATCAGGAAGAAAGAAAACAAGTTAAATTTAGGTGGGTGTATTAGGCAGTCTTTTGTAGAAAAAGAATTTTTGATTGCAGAATGTATAGAACAATGTATAGATTGCAAGAGGGCTGGACTAGCTTGACTACAGCTCCATAGACCACAAGGATGCCAGAATTCACAGACCTATCCTTTCTCTCAGGCTGCTTTGTTCTCACTGGAAGGTCAATAGCCATGAATAAATTATTTGTGTGTCATAGACTTTGGATAAAGGCTCTCAAATCCTGCCTGCCATGTTTCAGTCCTTTGACAAACTCTCCATGCAAAAGACTTACCATGCATTGCAGTGTACATGGTTATCTGTGTTGGTAGATGGATTCAAAATGTGTGAAAGCAGGGAAGCCATTTTTACTTCCACAACTTACAGTTTCTTTCCCTACCAATGCATCTGTTAGCAATTGCATTCTGTGACGCTGACTGTCAGGGACCATTGGTCTGAAAATTAAATGGAACTTCACATCAATACCTTCAGATTTTTGCCTGTTATAAAGTTTCAGCTCCTTCTAGCAGAAACTGTAAGGCAGGGAAGTCCAGGTAGTTACAAGCAATATCATTGTGGTCTTCTACTTAATCAAACCCAGGGAGGGCACACAATCACTACCCTTCTCCACTTTACTATAGAACTGCAGGAGTGATGCATTCCAGGAGGCAGCCTCCCTTCTGCAATTCACCTACTGGAAGAGGAGACCACTGGCAGATGTGCTAAGCAGGGCATCTGTGTCCTTTCATGAATAAAAGCTGCACATGGGCAACCTCCAGAAAATCTTTGAGCTGTTTGCATAACCTCAGTACAGGCATATCTTCTGCTTCAGAGCCCTCAACGTAGTAAGGTCTTCCAAAGATGGGTTTCTGTGCAACTGATATGAACCTGTTGTATACACTTATTCACTGTTCCCTCTGATCACCAAAGTGATTGCAAAGATCAAGCAGGCTAGAACCCAGTACATACTAGTGACACTGGGGGCTCAGCCAACTGTGCATTGAGACTCTGCTACATCTCTTCCAAGGACGATATTAGATGTTGTTACTACATCCATTAACGTTTATGAAGACCATAAAACCAATGTCCCGGAAGGTCTTTGTGTCTGCTCTGCCTCTGTTAGGTGCATTGTGGAAGTGGTGTACAGACTGTCTTCTCAGGGCCCTTCTGGCGGGGCCAAAATGCAGGACCTGTCTCGGTTTCACCTGAGGCATCCAAACTACTGAAACCCAGGAGAAAGTGGGTTATTTTAACCCGCTTCCTCCCGGGTTTTAGGGAAGTGTAGAAGGGCCCTCAGTGTACTTATGCTTATAAGTGGACCATGATCTTTGAATTCCTCAAGCCTGACAAAACTTCCTCCACAGATTGCACATATGCACAGATTGCACATATGTTGAACCACCTTGAGTCGCCTCCGGGCTGAGAGGGGCGGTATACAAGTATAGTAAGTAAGTAAGTAAGTAAGTAAATAAATAAATAAATAAATAGAACGTTTTAGTCTTGTTGTTGGACAGGGGCTTGTCAGTACCTACCATAAAATGTTATCCATCAGCCATCTCTTGGCATTTCCAACATCTTTGATGGTTTTCCCATTTAAGGACACTCTGCTTAAAACCTTCCGGAAGGAATACAAGTTCTACACTCACATGTGGTTGCATCTACTGCTCAATAGAGCTTAGGAACTAGTTCTATCTCACCTGACTAAAGCCCCTTCTACATTGCCATATAAAATCCAGATTATCTGCTTTGAATTGGATGATATGGCAGAGTAGACTCACATAATCTAGTTCAAAGCAGATAATGTGGATTATCTTCTTTGATAATCTGCATTATATGTCATGTAGAAGGGGCGTATGAGACAATTTAGTCCTGTGACTTCATGTGACCTCAGGCTACTCACGTGGAGGTCACATAGTGGAGGATGATATATCTTCTTGTACTCACCTTGGCCACAGAATCCTACAGAATCCTGAAACTGATCTGGAATGTTCTCCACTTTCTAGATACTCACTAGAGTCCCTTCAACACTCCCATATAATCCAGATTATCAAAGCAGATAATCTAGATTATCTGATTTGATTATCTGATTTGAACTGAATTATATGACTCTACGCTGCTATATAATCCTGTTTAAAGCAGATAATCTGGATTTTATATGGCAGTGTAGAAGGGGCCCGAGTCTGGTCTTCTGTATTGATTGTTTGCCTTTTTTCAGGAAGACACGGAGACTTTTTGTCTGTTACTCATCTTCCAAAAGGACTTCCTGTCTCACCACAATATTTCTCCAACTGTGTTGTAGCAACCATTTGTCTGGCCTATGAACTTGCAGACAGACAGCTTCCTATGCAAGTGAGCAGTAGGGTGATGGTGGCATTGGCTGTTTCCTTGCAAGGGATCCCTCTGCATATTATATCTAGAGCTGTTACTTGTCTATTTGTTTCATTTTTCTGCTGCCTTTCTCTCAGAGTAGGACCCAAGGCAGCTTCAAAAAACTATTGAATAAAATAATACAATAAAAATTGAAGCAAATAAAACTATATAAAAGAATATAAAACATTAAAAATAATGGTGTAAAAAGATGAATAAATCTTTGGTCGTGTCAGGAGCAACTTGAGAAACTGCAAGTCGCTTCTGGTGTGAGAGAATTGGCCGTCTGCAAGGATGTTGCCCAGGGGACGCCAGGATGATTTTGATGTTTTTATCATCCTTGTGGGAGGCTTCTCTCATGTCCCCGTATGAGGAGGTAGAGCTGATACAGGGAGCTCATCCGCCTCTCCCCGGATTCGAACCTGTGACCTGTCGGTCTTTAACCCACTGTGCCACCAGGGGCTCCAGACGAATAAATATGAATAAATATGATATATATAATTTTTCACTGAGACCCTCAGTCTGAGTCTGATTCTGGATCATTTTGAATCTTACATTTTCAGAAAGTGGCAGAGTCAAAAGTATTACTCATTTCCCCTTCCTTCTGCAATTATGAATTCCTTAGTGCCTTTCTCCTCTTTGGCAAAGGTAAAGACTGCCCACTGGGTTTTGATGATTTTGCCCTCTTTATTGCAACTGAAAGTTTTTACCAATTCAACTTTATTTTAAGCAGAAACAATTTTTGAGGTGTTTTAAAGTCTTTCTCATGATTTAACATTAAACACTATCTCATTAATACCTTGCAAATTGGGTCAGAGTGCAAGCTTGCATCTTGCTTTATCTTTGGTTGTTTTAGTAGCATGTTGGAAAAAGCAGTGCACCTGCTGTTTGCCTTGATCTACTACTGAGTTTTAGTTTGCTTGAAGACAGAATTTTTTACACCTTAGGTTTGAAACGAGCATTACCTTGTTTGCAAGCCTCCCAAATGCTCCACACAATGGTAGACTGTGCCAGACGAAATACAATCTTCCTGTAAGTTATACCCCCACCTACTGGGCACAGTTAACTCTGATGCATTTAAAGATCTTGGTGTCAGCTGCTGCAATATTTCATAACATGCAGGAGCCAAGAGTTAGAAACGTGTACGTGTTACTTTTAGTTTGCAGCTTCCCAGAATTGTGTTGTGGTGTTTGGTGGCATCTGAATGTTTGTTTTGGTGGCAGTGGGAAACTATATGCCTGCTATTATAAAACAGGTAACACTTTGGTTTGCTTTTCTTCAGGGCCTTTTTCATGTTAGCAAAAGGAAGAACAGCAGCAAAACATCCAGAACATGACATCAGCAACCGATTTTGATCATTTGGAGATTCAGCAGCAGTACAGCCGGATCAATGCTCGCTGGGATGCCTCTGACGATGAGCTGGACAATGACAACAGTTCTGCCAGGCTATTTGAGAGATCCCGGATCAAAGCTCTGGCAGGTATGCATTACATACATTGTCGAAATATTTTTGTGTGTGCTCATTCCTAACTTTGATTTCTTTATTGGAGTGCTAGCCCATTTAGATGGAAACCATTCTTTACTGCTTTCCATTTGTTTTCAAAAAATGAATTAAAGAGCTCCATTTTTTTTACAGCAAGCCTTGAACTACTTGCAGCTTACTGAGCCAAACACTGTCTACCAGCTTCGTATTGCAGCTCTTCAGTTACAGTATTTGGCAACCCCCTGTATTAATAGTCCCAGGCAGAAAAGAAAAACAAGATCTTTATCAAGATTCTGGTTACTGTTTTAAGAGCTTGGTAGGGTGCATTTGACCTGAAACCTTAAGAGCTGTTTTATTATTTTAGACCTGTCTTCAGGGCTAAGTTTATTATTTTAGGTGTTGATTATTATAACCCTTAATCATTCATCACACTAGGATAATGTCTGCACATCTTAGAAAATTCAGTGAAGCACTACAAATCAGTACTGAGATAACACATTTCCTGTTATAGTTCTTTGCCCCTCTTTTCTCTTGAGAGATGGAAGAGGAGGAATGAACATAAATTAACAGTCATAACAATCTACTATTTTTATTTGGGTAGGGAAACTCAGGAGAGCACCATAATAGGCTCCAGATTTTGCGCAAATCTTGTATTTACAAATATACAATATTTACAAATTTACAAATACACATGGCAAAGGGAGATGTAGTTCTGGAGGGACAACTAAAATTGACTATTACGTATAATTTTATATAATTCAATATAGGCAGCATAATTGCAATTTACAATAATACAAATATTTATATTCAATTTGACACATAAACACTATACTGAAATTTTCATGCATCCAATGAGGTCCCAATGGAGAACCTCCTCCTTACCCCTGGCAACTACAGCTTGCCTCCTGCTCTTCCTCCAAAGTCAACTAACAAGTACACCCCCTTCCTTAGGCTTTCTCCATCCACTAGGCCAAACCAGAATTTCTATGGGGTTGATAAGAATACAGTAGCCATGTATTGTATTATATGTACTAACATGGCCTAGGATCAACTGAAACTGAATCCAAATTCCTCTCAGCCTAGAGCTGCTGAAAAATTACAAGGACTACCCTTACACTGTTCTAACTGATTGTGGGCTTGGAGGAGACTTGGATGTGGAGTAATTTGGCTCTCTCTTCCCATCCTCGCTTCTTTTTGGGCTCTGCTGGTGGCAGTTCTTAGCTAGTAGAGCAGTTCTGGAAACAGATTCCTCTGTTGGCACATCCCTGAGATCAGATGACAGAAGGCCGTTTCTGCCACCAGAGAACACTTGGCAGTAATCCTAATCCCTTACACCTTTGAATTTGCACTATACTGTTACATGCTTACAATAAAACATTCTATTGGCCACTTAAAGTATTTCTGCAGTCATAAAATACAGCCATCAGCCATAAAGCAGTAAAAGAGGAGCTTTAAGTAAAATTATAGAGAATAAAATATTTCAGAAATCTGAGAAGGACTTCTCAAGCTAGTGAAAAGGATACTTATCAAATATGAGATTTGCAACAAAGTAGGTGCTAGGCAAGACTCTGAGAAGAACATTCCACTATGGCAGAAGGGTCAAACTCGTTTTCATTGAGGACCATTGAACCCATGGATACATAGGGCCAACTATATTATATATATATTTATACACACACTCACTCACACACACACACACATACAAACATAGTGGTCAGTGCTCTTTATTTTTTTACCCAATTTGAGTCCCCAGATGTTATTGAATGACACCTCCCGTCACTTTTGGGAATAATGGACATTGAAATCAACAACAATTGTGGTTCTGAGGTTGGGGAAAGCTTAAAGGACATTTTAACCTCAGACATCACATCCACAAGCCTTGTATCCACATTCAAACCCCACTCTCTTGACTAAACAGAACAAACCGCAATCCTCCAGATATTTATTTATTTATTTATTTATTTATTTATTTAATTATTTATTTGCCACACTTTTATCCTGCCTTTTTCAGCCCAAAGGAAACTCAATGCGCTGTACAGGCTGGCAACAATTAGGTACCGCACATACATAAATACATCGTTTAAAACAGGTTTAATCACCTAATAAAATTCATATAAAAACAATTTAAAACCATAAAAATAAATGATTTAAATCCATTTGCATCATTAAGCATGTTACTGTATCACAACTCCCATCAGCTCTAGTCATGACATCTAATGATAAGGAATACAGGAGTTATAGCCCAACATCTGGAGAGCCACATAAAATGACACAGTAAGCCACATTTGGCCCACAGCATTGAGTTGACACATGTGCACTATGGAATACTGTCACTGAAAAGGCCTCTTTCTTGTGGCTGCTTGATGAGGCCACCCAGAAAAAAGGTCTCCAAAGATTATCTCAGTTTGAAGGGAGAGGGTCTGGAGGAAGTAATCCTTTAGGTAATGTTCCAGGAGGTTTGAACCTTAAAAGCAGCAGTTTAAACTCCTAAACACACTGCGTGTGTACTTGCTTCCAGACTGGATCATTTCAACTCATATATCACCCTACAAAGGATCATATTTATGTTCTGTGGGATTACCTCCTTGAAGCTGTCTTCCCCAGGCCTTGACACATAGACCTTCTAAGTCGTTATGCTATCCCTGGATGAACCAGTTAATTCACCCACAGCCTTAGTATCCTCACTACGTATGTAACGAGTCTCTACAACATTGGGATCAACCATCAGTCTGGTATTCATCAGTGACTCAATCGTAAATACTGAGTGTTGTGCAAAATTGCTGGGATTTCTTTCCACTATAGAACAAATTTCTGGATTTCTATTGGGTTTCCAATAGAAATTAAGGCATTGAATTATTGAATATGATGTAAGCCGCCTTGAGGGTCGAGAAAGGTGGAATATAAATATAGTAGATAAATAATAAATAAATGATTGGAGAGGGAAAGCTTTCTTTTGTATGGCTAGGAGCATCATCTCTGTAGTAAGGCCCTTTGCTTAATCCCTCAGGAGTGTAGAGATGCCAGGTGAGCCTGTAATATTTAAGCACAATTTTGTCTCTCTGTATAAATGATTACAAAGAAGGTACTGGCCTATACAATTAGACACCAATAGCAAACTCTATGTGCTTCTTCATTCCAGAATGATGTGTATCAATGTTCAGTAATCGAGGCATGCACCCTAATACCAGCAGATGCCATGTCTGCCATAGACAACAATCTGAACTGCATTTTTCATAGCCATGGCATCTATGGTGTTCTTGTTATCCAGAAACGGATTCCATTATCTTTCCACAATTCTAAATAGGAATTGTACAATACACCACACTTCCTCTAAACCTCACTTCAAATTACAGGCGCTCTCTAAGGAAATGGAATTGGTGAGAGCTTTTTACTGGCAACATGTTGTACTAAAACTAGTTTGCTAAATTATAATGTGTCAAATGACCTAGGAAACAAAGAATCATTAATTGCTACATTCATAACCATGTAATACCATTTTTAAGAGAAAGGAAGAAATGCATGTAGAATCTGCAAATATTCAGGTAAAACACAAGTAGGTGGGAAAAAAATCTTCCTTGACCACAATTTTTGAAAATACAAAAGCTAACTGTAAATTCAGAACGGTCTGTATTCTCCATTCTGGGTGGAGCACACTGGCTCCTTTACTTTTAGCAATGTATATAACAACATAAATTGACATGGTTTTTCCCCAGTAATGAAGCTACATTAGGCATAGTTACTACAAAATAAAAGAGTAGTTGAAGAGTGGCTGTAGCAAAGATATTTTATTGAATGGAACACTGTTGTGTTTGTAATATAATATAATATAATATATGCATATATACTGTATTTGCCGGAATGCTTGCAAGCCAAGAGAATGTCTGAGTTTTATTGTGCCTCTGAGTTTTATTGTGCAGTGTTTCATCACCTTTTCAAATGGACTCAAATAGTGCCCTGCTTTTAATATCTGAGATTCTTGTAACCGCTGTAGCTATTTTGGTTACACTGACAAATGAGAGTTACATTTTCGAAATTCTGATCCTGGAAACCTGGCAATCACAAACCTCTTCCCAGAAGACAACTTACTCCATTCTGACAGCTGCCATATTTTTAAATGAGGGAGCTAACAACATCACTTCTTCCCCTTATTCATGTTTTCTGTTTGCCATTCCTTCCCTAATTTACCAAAGATAGAAAGAGGAGGTGTGGGAAAACAGTAGTTTAATTCAAATTAAATTATAGTGATGCAGTTAGATGAACTGCGTACTCTTCAGTTAGTTTCTGCTGCAGGGAAATGTAATTAGTACTGGACTGACTGCCAGATTGTGAACATGCAACTCCTAATCAAAGTCATTAGAACAAACTCAGATACCCCTTTTGAGTTATCTGTCTCACTGAACTACAAGAAGTCTATAAATATGTAATATGGAAAATGTATTTAGTCAGCTCTTATTCTTAATCCAATATGATTTGTAGTTTTAAGGATAAAGCCATGAGAAAGTACTTGTCAATTTACCCAATCAAGGGTGAAGAGGAATCTTATGTTTCTGTCTGAAGTTCCTGGCTGTTTACAGCTGTGGAAATGGCAATAGGTGCTTTCTTTGCTTATAGTTATAGTGTGTTATCCACAGGGCTGGGGGTTGTTAATCTTAAAGCTATATATTTGGGTGAATTTGAAATGAATTTCTTGGTGTTTGTTTCTGGTAATGTTACTATTAATTTGCCATGTTAATCTTTATGGATGTGTTAGTTACACACTGTCCTGTGAATTTTAAAAATGGCCATTACCCACCAAAAAGTAAGAGTTAAAACAATGGGAAATGTCAATTACTGCAAAAATACTAATATTGCTGACTTTTGGCAAGTTGAAGACTTTAAAAGTTGTCATTTTAACTCCCAGGAATCATCATTCTTTTAAATTGGATGTTCTTACAAAGGCTGGGACTATGGAAACAAAAGAAGAATGTAAAATAATTATATGGTGGTTTACTCATTCTGTTGGTGGCTGCATTTTGTTGTTGTTGAGGTAACGTTGTGAAATCCACCCAATGCCCTGGGATTTGCCCCTCCAAATGCACACTGTAGTCACTACGCCAGAATAATTATATGAATAGTAGCCATAAGGAGATCATATCAATTGAGTGCTGGACAAGGCTGCTGAAAGGGGCACTGTAGCAATTTGCCCCACCATCTGCAATGAAGAGCCCCATTCCTCATTAGAGTCCCACACACTCATGGATCCTTATAGGACCCAATGGTAGACACCTCAAGTTCACACCTGCCTCAAACCCCACAAGCCTTTTGAGTGGACCCTGTGCTAGTGACTGATAGTAATACAAGAGGGACAAAGAAATACAGGACATCACATACCGTTCTTTCACAAAACTTCTCTCTAGTTTTTAGGATGACACCTAGAATTGTCTAGATGTTTACATTCTTATAAGTAACAGGATCATAGAATCATAGAATCATAGAACAAAGAGTTGGAAGAGACCTCATGGGCCATCCAGTCCAACCCCCTGCCAAGAAGCAGGAATATTGCATTCAGATCACCCCTGACAGATGGCCATCCAGCCTCTGTTTAAAAGCTTCCAAAGAAGAAGCCTCCACCACACTCCGGGGCAGAGAGTTCCACTGCTGAACGGAGTTCCACACACTCCAGGGCAGGAGTGAGAATAATATGTCTTTCTAGATGTTGTAGGACTGCAGTTCCAACAGCTGTAACCAGCATAACCAACAGTGAGGCCTGGAGCTGGAATTCAAAAACATCTGGAAAGCCAAACATGTCCTTCCCCTGATTTGTTTCACTTAGAAACCAAGTAACTTAAGCCAGAAAGAGACATTTGAGATTTTCAGACTATCATATCAGTGACACAATGATATAGTGTTTTAATGAGAAGAACTATCCAATGATTAAGCTAGTAATAAATATACTTAGTCATTTTTTTGTCTAATTTCAGATGAGCGGGAAGCCGTGCAGAAGAAAACCTTCACCAAATGGGTGAACTCTCACCTGGCACGAGTAACCTGCCGTATTTCTGATCTTTACATGGATCTCCGAGATGGACGGATGCTAATTAAACTGCTGGAGGTGCTTTCAGGAGAGCTGCTGGTAAAGTTTCTTATTTTTCCTACTCTAGAGAATTAAAGGTATATAGGAAAAGTGGATTGTTGCCCTAATATTGAAGGGAAACATTTCTCAGGGATTTCTTTCAGGGATCCTTCATTCATGGTCTTTCTAAGACTATCCCACAAATATCAACATTTGCATGTCTATGTAAAAAATAATGTGCAAAAGCAAAAAAGGAGACAGAGTATGTTGCTGTCAGATGGTTATTTAAAATCCCAACATATATTGGCCTCTATCAACGTTGGCCTTATTCAGGGCTACACTAAAATACATAAATATAAATACATTAAACATATTATTAAAGAAAAACACAACATTAACTGCATTCTTTAAGAAAATATAAATTGTATTTTTATACTTGCTGAAACACACACACACACACACATATATATATAAACAAAAAAAGAGTTGCATGAAATACTTCCCATAGAAGTGGACCATTAAACAACAACACAAAACAAACCCTAGAGACTGTTCTTTCTATTATGCATAAACCAGGTAGTCAGGAGAAAAAGAGAAAAATAAATGGCCATCTCTCGGCTTTAATTCGTTTATGTGCTCATTAGTTCACTCTTTTACAAAGAAAAAAGTGTGCAACTTCTGTAAAGATAACCAGATGTAAGAATAGCTACCATTTTACAGAGGCTGGATTGGTGTCCTAACTAACTTTCAGTAGACTTTGGGGACTGAATGCTCCTCGTGAAAGAATGTGTGATAATGTGCTGCATTGTCTGTGTTTGGTTTTTTTGCCCTTTTATTCTACTGTCTGTAATTGTATTTTGACTTATGTGGAATATGTATACAATTTAATTTTTGAAAGTTGCCTTGAGCCCCAGGTTTGCAGAAAAGGTAATAGTGAGTCAAACAGCTTGAAATGTGCCACATTGCACGATAGTTTACTGATTCCTGGATTTCTTTGATAGAATTTGAAGTACTGATGGTGCAAAAGTCCAGTCACCTTTGATAGACTGTGAGACTAGTAATTATCAGCAGCAGCATTTGGCATATTGATTTTCATGGCATGCACAGGTACTTGGAAGCCATAGCCCAATTTCTTTAATACAGAAATGACCTGTGCAGCCATTTTAAACTTAATTTGTTTTAAAATAAAATACCCCTGTTTTTATTGCCAGGCTTTGTTCTCTCCTCCTTTCAGTGAATGACAGTTTACCATATAGCTGCGGTAAGGCAGGGGTAGATGAAGGACACACTGAGGCACAACTTGATGTGTCCTTTGGCACATTGGTAGTGGAGATAACCAAAACCTATGCCAGGTAAAAGATCACAGGGAATTTCTGTCGAACCCAATCCAGGTCAAAAAGGGAGTCAAACTAGGGTGCATATTAGTCATCCTTTTATTTACTATCTTCTTGTATGATTTCCCTATGGCCCTGTCCCAAGAGGATGGGCATAGCCCCAAGATTGGCCCAAAGCATGTTTCCTTCTTGCTATTTGCGAATGATGCAGCCCTACTATCCCTCTCTCATGTGGGTTTAAAAAGACTTCTGCTTAGATTTGTTGACTTTTGTGAGACGAATCATCTGCTGGTTAATTATGATAAAACCAAGATCCCGGTCTTTGGGAAAAGCAATAAAAAGCAAGTCTGGAAGATAAAGGGCCACCATATTGAGCAAGTAAAAAATTTCACATACATAGGACTCTGCTTCAGCAACAACCTGTCATGGTCCACTCATTTAAAATACTTATTAACTACACTTGGCGGACCATTATGCACGTGTGGACCATAATGCTTTTCCAAGCAGAGGCAAGAACACAGGTACTCTATGGAGCTCCCATTTGGCTAACCCCAAATAACAGTGCAATTGTATCATTTCATTCAAAATTCCTGCATAAATTATTTGCTGTCTCAAACTGTGTCCCATATGCAGTTCTGTGTTTAGAATCTGGCCAATATTCTATAGAGGCCACTATCTGGCTAAGCATAATAAAAATTTGGTTTTATATTCACTATAAAAACCCCAGTAACTCTTTGACCCAACTCACCTTGAGTGAACTCCACCACTCAAAATGGTGCACAACAGTCCTAGCAAAGATGAGGGAATTGGGCTATGATAGTGACTGCTTGACATGCTAACTTTCACTAAGATCTTTACCCTCATTAAAAAGAGGTTGCTAGCAATGGATTATAAACAACTGCTGATGTTGGTCAACAAATCCTGTGGCTGTTCCATTCATACAGGGAAACCCAGCCTATTATATTGCAGTGCTTATGAACAGCACATTCAGGAGAGCCTATATGCTGGCAAGATTTAATATTATGCCATCTCTGCTCATAGAGGAAGACTTAACAGTCTATTGAGCAACAAGAGACTTTGTTCCTGTAGCAGAGGAAAGCTGGATTTCAATCCGCATATTCTTCTGCACTGCCCACTCTACCAGGAACTAAGATCTAGCTTGCTACTACAAGTTATAGATTTTCTGAAAAACCATACAGACCCAGACAAAGTAATTATGCTTTTAAACTGCCAAGACTTTAACCATTGCCTTTCAGTGGCAAGGTTCCTGAATGAAGTTTGTAAATTGAACGTGTAACAAATGTGAAGCTTCCTACTCTATAATTTATACTGTATTTTATACTGTCTTATTATATATGCCAATAAAGGCATATTGGATTGGATTGGGAGTGGAGAACTAGCTAGTCAGTGGGAGTGAAGTGGATAACTTTTGGGAGTGGAGAACTAGCAAGTCAGTGTCATTGAACATCGTTTAGCCTATGGCCTCCCTCACTTTGTGTCATGCGAAAAAAAGAGAGAAGAATAAGGAACACATCAGGATGGCTTGTTGCTCTCAAGTCAAGTTTATGTGGGCCTGCACATTTGCAAGGGCTTGCAGTTCTGAAGCATGGCTGTAATTGCTGCTGCCATTGAAAGTGGAGGCTGCATTTCTAATTCTTGCCCCTGGGTCATGGATCTTAAGTTACATTCCTGTTAGAGATGTCCTTGGAGCAACTTTACAAACACACTTCCCAGACTGTAGTGGTGCTAGCTACTGCTCTATTACAAATTTTGCAACACAAATCTGATTACACTCAGCAGGAAGATTCACATTTTTTCACTATATGATACAATGATGTCTGCTAATCCCCATGGGCTGCTAAATGAATAGGCTACTCAAATTCTTTATGGCCTGAAATGCATAACATATTTTCAGTTTTTAAATGCATTTGATGTGCTTTTATATGAAATGTCATGCAGCCATAGGTCAATGTGACACTCACTTACATCAGGCTTCCCAGTGGTTGCCTTATTTTAAAAGCAGGGAACATTGGGCCCATAGAGCATAAGGTAAAGGTAAAGGTTTCCCCAGACATAAAGTCTAGTTGTGTCTGATTCTGGTGGGTGGTGCTCATCTCCATTTCTAAGCCAAAGAGCCGGCATTGTCTGTAGACACCTCCTAGGTCATGTGTCCGGCATGACTGCATGGAGTGCTGTATTTATTTATTTATTTGCTTCATTTATGCCCCACCTTTCTCACCCATCAGGGGACTCAAGGTGACTTACATCTCCGGCAAACATTAAATGCCGGTAAAACCAACAATAACAATAAACGTATCCCCACAATTAAAATGATTCACAGTAGAACATATTGTTCTTTATTTTTTGTGTCCATCTCTACCCCCTTATTACAGCAGATAATTCTGCTGCTACTAAATTTTGTTGGCAGATCGGTGGCACAATAACAACTCCTCTCTTTGCCCCTTCAATTTTGTTCTAAAATAATATGTGTAAACAGCACACATCTTGTTTCAAGTCAGCCCATGCTTTTAATTTTATTTTGCAAACATAAAACTTATGAGTATGCTATCCATTGTCACATTAATGTGTGGGGCAATTTACAATTTGGAGTATGTAACTGAAACCCTTGTATCTTCCTACTGAATGTAATTGGATTTCTCTGCAATTGGAAGACTTGTCTCCTCCCCTCCATAAATATTTGTAATCTGCAGCATTGAGAAGTACAGAAGCTCTATTACCACTTCAGGAACTGGAATCCCTCTCCAAAATGGCTAGATTTAAGTTGAATATTAATAATCCAAGAACTGCTTAAACTGATTGATTGGATTCTCTCAAAATGATTTTGTAAATAGCATGTTGATCTCATTCTTGCAGCCCAAGCCCACCAAGGGGCGCATGCGAATCCACTGCCTGGAGAATGTGGACAAGGCTCTGCAATTCCTCAAGGAGCAGCGTGTACATCTGGAGAACATGGGATCGCATGACATTGTTGATGGCAACCACCGTTTGGTTCTGGGTCTCATCTGGACTATCATCCTGCGTTTCCAAGTGAGTTCTGGGTCCGTCCGAGGCCTGGGAAGTCAGCAGTAACATATCCTATTCTGGCATTATGAAGAAGTGGCGGGAAACTGGCTGTATAGAATATTCTTCCTTATTCTAAATTGAGAATAATGCTTCTTCCTAACCTGGAGCAACCTGCCACTGTAGAGTTTTGTAGATTGGACAAAGCCAGGGCTTTCACTGTACATTAATGGAATTGGCTCTATTGAGTGTATCCATTAGCCCTCTTTGACATTTCTCACCTCTAAATCAGAATGAAAAAAGAAAGGAAAGGATAAGCAGCTTTTGCCACTTTTAGATTAAATATGTCCTCTGTGGGGATGTGAAAGCACTCCTCTTAAATCTTGATCTCCCACGGCATGAAACTATTTCAGCTAGATAAAAGCAGAAGTTCTGTCACTGT